GAAATAGGTTGCAAGACCTTTATTTCTGCCTTTCTTTATTCATTCTCACTTAGCTGTGATTTACCTTTCCCCGTCCCCCCAAGTTAATTACCCTATGTGGTAGTCTGATTAAATCCTGAATTTTTTTCTTAAAAAAAGATTGTCAGAATTTTTTTTTCCCTTTCTTTTTGAGTAGCTCCAGACATGTGCATATTCTAGCTGTCATTTTTGTGGATGCCGAAATACTGTGGATGGATTTTCGTGGGGTGGGAAAATGTATATGCCTGGCACAAAGGTATTCCAAATTTGATATTTTTGCTCCCTAAACATGGAGCTGTAAAGAATTTCTGAAAAACAAGCTTTCCAGAATTTTGTTACCCATGAACTAAGCCATTTTGGCTGTTAGTGGAGAGAAATTAGGAAAAAAGTGATCTGAGGCAGATAGTTGGCTTGGAAAATTGCATTCGGAAGCTCTGAAATTTCACAAGATTGTAAGAGCAGAAAGCAGCAATCTCTTACAGCGAAGATCCATAATCCCCAATGCAAGTGCCAAGAGCAGCATACAAGTAAATTTGAATAATACGCATTTTGCATAATGCAATGTAGGTCTGAGCCGCAGCCTTTTGAGGCAGGCATGTGTGAGATGTACTTGTTCCCAGCTCCTGGCTTTCTCCTGGTTTTGCACGGATAAAACAGGCAAGACGCTACTGTTAGGTGGTCGGTGGTGTCTCTTTGCTCCGAGTTTCCACAAGCACGTACGGCTTCTAATTTGAGAAACAAAAGTAGGCTGGTGCTCCGCTTCTTACAGATTGCCCCTAAAAAGGGAAGTGTCAGGCAACTTCGGTAATGGGTTTGCTCTTGTCTTTGCATATTGTTCCTTTTTGTGTTCTAAATCTCAAAGCAAGTTTTTAATTTAGTTCTGTGTTTAATAGCTTTAGCTACTCTGAAATAGATACTGAGACTGCTTTTAAATGGGATCTATTGTTCATGTAAAGAGCTGTATTAAAAGTAGTGGATATAATGAAAAATACAGCTCAGCTTTGTAATATAATGACTTTTACCAAATAAGGGAAATAAAACATTTAATTTACTGTGTGTTGGCTGTCGTCACTATAGTAAAGGTTATACCGGTATTTACGAAAAGTTGCTATCTCAGTAATTTAATCAACTTAACAACCTAAGCCCATGTAGGGGTACAAAGTTCAGTATTACTTGTCTTGAAAAGAGCAAGTTCTGGTTTTGAAGCTGTTTAAAATGCTATTCTGACAACAGCAGTTAGAAACAGGAATGCTAAAATTAACAATTTAGTCGTGCTAATTGATTGTATTGTGCAGGTAGGTTGTGAATTCTTAATTATATGGTTTTTAATAAACTATCTGGTTTTGTGTAGATCATCCTTTGCAGGCTGGAAGTGCCAAGTGCAGGATAATTCAGTGAATGATGTGGACTATTTCAGCTTCTTGTTTTCAACCCTTATAGGTAATCCATGTGAATGTCATAATTCAGAATTAACAAAAAGAAATTTGTTTTGATAGTCAATTACTGGATTTAATTTAGAATAAATGGTGTAGTAAGTACTTCCTGAAAGTAATTCTAATCTTGTTACGTATTTTTGATGTGAGATACCCTTTTTTTTTTCTCTTGATCTGATTTTTGACGCCCTATTTTTACACTTTACCATTTGGGCTGAATATTTGCATACTTTTTCTTCATTCTAGCAACTTTCTTCGGAAAGTATGAGGAAAACCTAAATTCAGCATATGACATGAACAAGAATTTTTTCTAGATTTAAGTAAATGCCTTTTATTGGCTTGTAACAATATGAATGAGTGCCTCTGGGATTTCCTGTGAACATGCTTACGCTATTAAAAACATTCCATGAGAATAAAGTAATCAAGTATGTTGAAGTGAGCTGCCCAAGGTCAGCATGTGAGCAGAATTATTTCTGCTGCTATATTCTTACTGAGATATAAAAATAGTTGTATTCTGTGGTGATGCAACTTTGGGAAATTACAGTGGTTAAAATGGCATAATACTGCTGAGAAATATCTTGCAGTAACTTGTGGTAAAAAGAAAGTGTCTTTTCTTTATCACCTCAGTCATTCAGAATGTTCAGCTACTTTACTTTCATA